TCCCTCTCTTTAATAAAGTTTAGGAGACTAGCAGGAAGGTGCTAGACACTCCCACATGGCCAACCATGGTTTGAGTCCTGGACCTGGTGGCTTACTTTCTCACTTTCCCTCTCTCTCTCTTTCTGGTCAAATGAAGATAAATGAGTGAATGAATTAAATAACTTTTTTAAAAAGTTCAATAAAAATTTTTTAAAAAAAGGGGGGGGGCTGGCAGGTGGCATGGTGGCTAAGGACACTGGACTCCCATATGGCTGACCTGGTGGCTTGCTTTCTCACTTTCTATATCTCTCCTCTCTCTCTTTCCTTCTCCAGTCAAATTTAAATAAAGTTTTAAAAAATCTAAAAATAAATAAATAAATAAATAAGTAAGAGAGATTGAGAACAAGAAAGCAAGCCACCAGGTCTGGGACTTGAACTGCAGTCAGCCATGTGGGAGTCTAGCACCCTTCACCGCACCACCTGCTGCCCCCGCAGTGTGATTTTTTTAAGAAATTATTTACCTATTTATTTATCTGACCAGACAGGGACAGAGTGAGAGAGAGGGAAAGTGAGAAAGCAAGCCACCAGGTCCAGAGAGGGCAAGTGAGAAAGCAAACCTCCCTCTACCATGTGGGAGCCCAGCACCCTCAACCACCCTGCCACCTGCTGGACCTATCACCTTGGTGATTTTGATTCATCCTAGGCTAACCCATCCTTTAGCTAAAAGTAAACAAGGCATTGGCTTCTCCGTTCTCTTCAGGACACCTAGTGGCTACAGCAGAGTACCTGAGACAGACAGGGGAGAGGCAGCTGGGTGGAATTAGGTCCACTTCCTACGTGGGTCTGAGCTCGTCTGTGGTAAGTGACCACTACAGCCTGGCTTGAGATAAGGCTGGAGCCATGTAGGGGCCGAGAGTGCACCAGCATGCACGGGCGGGGCGTTCAGTGGAGGTCTGCGACTTCTGGCCCCAAGATCAAAAGGGAGACCAGGGACTCCTGAGGCTTTGTTGGAGCAGTGGCTCAGGGAAGAACCGCGAGCTGTTACCATTCCGTCCCTGAACTGCACAGTGAACCGTCTGCGGCAGGCTACGGAACGTGCATGGCGCGCTAGCAGCTGCGGGACATCAGTTTCCTCGTGGGCCTGTTCTTGTCCGTCCTGTTGCTAATAAACGGAAAATACCTGAGCGTGGGTGATTTTTAGGAGCAGAGGCTTACTCAGCTCCTGGTCTGGAAGTCCAGGGGCTGCATCGGGTGAGAGTCACCTTGCTGGCCCATCACGTGGCAGGACGGCCGAGCAGAACCGCCCCTGTCCGTGTCTGCCCCTCTGTCCTACTCCCTCTCCTTACGGAGCCCTCAGGCCCCCACAGGTCCTCACCTTTCAACACCAAGTCTCCACACTCTTAATGCCATGAACAGTGACTCACCACGTTGTAACCCATGAGTTCTGGGGGGACGCGTTCAAACAGCCACAGCACCTGTCATCTAGAGAACACCAGTGAGCGCAGAGGAACTGCAGACCCGTGACCACGCTTCCACGGTGAGCTGAAGGAGCAAGTCTTGGCGTGGAGCTTTGTAGCACTCTGATTTACAGACTGCATTTACAGAATGCATTGCTTCCTAAAGAAGGCAATCGCTCCCAGCTCTGAAGCGGCCTCAGTGGGTCTTCTGCCTGGAGCCAGAGAGCAGTCAATCCGGCGAGGCCTCCTCCCAAGTGCCTGCAGTGTGCTGAGACAGACGAGGGGAAAGTCTGTGCGCTAAATGGAAAACATCCATTTGCTTCAGCACCAGATGAGCAGGTGGCTCTGAAAAAGGCTGGACTTGCAGGAGAGGCCGTTACCCCGGGCCTCTCTGGAAGTGCCTGAAGTACTGCACTAGGGCCTCTTCAATTCCACACCATGACCTCAGGAACACCCTGGGCCTGGGCAGCAAAACTGGCGAGTGGTGGTGAGGACCGCTCTCGGGTGGGTGGCTGGGGTGCGCTTCTGGGATGGAGCTTCCTGGGATGGGTCAGAGAGCCGCAGCTAGCTCCCCTGCAGTCACGAGAACCCTGGGCCTGGTTATGTCCACCCATCTCTTCACTCACAGGCGAAGCTGATTTTTCTTCCTAAGGTCCGGGGAATGAATTATTCAGAGCAGCGGGAGGAGTACACTCCCAGCACAGAGATCACTTTTTCGTCACAGCTCCGGATGACGTGTGGGAGGCTGCATGCGTGTTCTTTGACGTCTCGCTATTTTCTGCTCACCCTGTTTCGAGGCCTCGACTGCTGGTGACCCCCCCGCTGTTCAGCACTTTGAGTTTGTTTCTGTTTTTCTTGGTTTTCCCCGTGGTGTCCCCACTGCTCTGCTCCGGCACTCGTTCCTCTGTCGGACCAACCATGGTGGTGGTTTTCTTTCCTTTTTTTCTTTTTTTTAAAGAATTATTTAATTTTATTTATCATTAGTGTTATTAATTTGTTACAGGATAAGTGTACTCGAGAGAGAAAGTGAGAAAGCAATCCAGGACTTGAACTATGTATGGTTGGCCATTGTGGGAGTTCAGCTCCTTAACCACCACGCCACATGCTTGCCCAGGTTGTAGTTTGTTTGTTTATTTATTTATTTGTTTGTTTGTTTATTTATATATTTTTTGAGAGATATTTTTGCTATAGGGTACATTTACTCACTGGAGAGAGAGACAGGGAGACAGTGAGAAATTCCCCCCCTTGGGGGATGGCCACGCCACAATCCCTTCTCAGCATTCTGGGCATGCACACACACATGCTTGGCGTGAGTTTAGCTGCCAGCATGCACGCACACATGCTTGGCGTGAGTTTA